AAAAACCAAGGGAGTTGGACACCCCTAGATAGTCCCTGCACAAGGGAAGTCCTTCAGGTTGAACTGAAGGACAAGAGCAACTCGGAGCCTAATGAAGACAGATCTCTGTTAAAGGCATATTTGTAACAATTATAAAGGCTAATGGTACTTTTGTTTTCCACATGATTTAAGAGTCTGCTGCCCTCCACGCTGCTGTGTGCTGGGGCTCTGAGGCGATGCCAAGTACAACAGCTTCACACAGTGTGGGGGTGTAGACTGGGCTGTGGTGGGCAGGGCCGTGGGTTCTAGATGGCCTTTTCCTGGCACCAGGGGGAGGAAGACAGCTGTAGAGTTAGGAGGTCAGCAGGGATTTGAGAGGTCAGAGTGGCCTTGGGTCACTCCTGCATTGCAACCCCTTGGATCAGAGCTGAGGAGGGGAAGCCTGCACCCTTCTGGGTCAGTTTGCATGTCTGTTCAACTCCCTGCCCATCAACTCTAGGCTGTCAGGCCCCAGTTGGCCACTGGTCTGTCTGTACCTAGGCATCAGAGGCCACGGATTGAGAAGGCATCAGAGTCAGGGTTTTGCATGCCCAATTCTTGTTGAAGTTGCTTTCCCAGGTGCAGCAAGGTTCTATCTAAGAAACAAATAATTCCTGTCCCTTTTTCTGTGAAGATCTTCATGAATTTCTTCCATATCCTAGTGTATTCTTAGCTTGATGTTAATATTCTAGTGCCACCATCACAGAAGACTATAAAACTTGTGGCTTGAAACAGCAGAAATTTATTGTCTTATAGACCCAGAGTCTAAAAGTCCCAAATCAAGGTGATGGTAGAGCCATGCTTCCTCAAACTTCTGGGGGAGGATCTTTGTGGCCTCTTGTAGCTTCTTCTAGTAGTCCCAGGCATTTGCTGGCTTGTATAACTCTAATCTCTGCCTCTCTCTCCAGGTGGCTATTTTCTTTCTGTATTCACAATCTTCCAGTATCTCTGTTTTGCCTTCTTACAAGAGCATCAGTCATATTCAAGCCCATTAGAATGATCTCATTTTAATCCAGTGATACCAGGAAAGACTATTTATTTCCAAGTCTGTCAGTTTAACTACGACCAGACGTTGCGTTGGCCATTGGCACACAGGTGACCAAGATGTCCGCAACCAAGCTTAAGGATGCTTTATCATCACTCTAGCAGTGAGTGTTTTTTGTCTACCTTATGGAGGGCTGTGTGCAAAGTTTTGGCTCCTTGGGGGTCTAACCTAGTGCCTGAGTAGGCAGCACACTTGGAAGTATTTGGTGAATGAACCTCACTCCAGCTTCCCAGAAGGGGTAACATCCTAGTCTTACAGAGGTGGCTTGTAAGTTTCTAGGAGATTAAAATGCTGACCCCTAGGTCTCATGCATAATTAGTAGTACCAAGTCTGTCTGGATTCCGAAAAGCTATTTGACTACTTCTTGACTTAGAGCCTCTCTTGATAATTAACCTCCTGTTACAAACCCATAAAGGATGTTTTTTTCATTGTCTTTGCAAATTTGTCACAGCCTTATTCAAAAAGGTTTGGAAATCAACAATAAGTGTTGAGAGAAGAGGTAACAAGAATACAGAAAATGAGTCATTAGAGCTATTCTGGAATTTTCTAATTTTCCTCCTTGGGCAAGAGGTAGGATTACACTTCCTGTCCCTACTGAAGTTAGGTATAGCCATGTAGCTTGTTTCAGCTAACAAAATGGAAGCAGATAAAACCCTTGTAACTTCTGGGGAGAAGTTCCAGAGATGTCTGAGTTGGAAGCATCATGGCACTATCGTGTGTTCACATGTGCACAAGAGGTAGGCGAACTCCGTCTGCCTTGTCTTTAGGTGATTGTGGGGAGCAAAACCCCTGCCAGCTCTGTCTGGACAAGAGAAATGCACAAGAAATTTCTAGTTATGTAAAACCACTGAGGTTTTGGAACTATTTCCAACTGTGGCATATTTAGCTCATTGTGACTGATTAAGTACACTTAGGAATAATAACATGGAGAAAATTCAGTAAAGATTTCCCCCAGAGAAACTTATTAACTTATTTTGAAAACAGTTCTTTAAAGCTTCTTGCAGTCATTAGCATTTCTAAATTAAATTCACAAGATGGTTAGATGACCATCTAGTTCTGTGACCTTACTTTTTTCTTCTATATTTAAAACTTTGGTCTACAAAGAAATGCTTGTCCTTTGTCCTTATGTTAAAGAATGTTGGATTTGTGTGTGTGTGTGTGTGTGTGTGTGTGTGTGTGTGTTTCATGAAAGAAACTAAGGGAAAATTTATGTTTGGGAAACTAGAGACCTCAACAGTGATATTCTTATCTGAGCAGCATTGTAAGAACAATAACAGTTTTCCTCTGAATTTCTGTTGCTGGAGTATGTGTTAAACCTAGCTCTTCTATTACCTTTAGGACCTTCTTTCTAGCTATAGTCACTGGCCCAACCTGGCTTTAAATTGGGTTCTGCCTTACAGTTACTCCTTCAGCATTGTGTTTGTAAAGCCTTTGATCAATCATGGTGACTTGCTCTTATGTCTCATTCTAGAGACTATAAACTAATTTTTAATGAACAAAGCCAGGGTATTACAAACTGAGACCTGTTGCAACTTGACAAAGAGGAAATTTTTCTCGATTTCTACCCCCCCTCCCCCCTCCCCGAGTTGGAATATATGACAATGGAATCTGACCAGTTAACTAGATTTTACAGATTTGATAAGAGTAAGAAAATTAGTCATTTGCCTTAAACTTGTACTGCCTAGTTTCATATTTCATCTGTTGTAGTACCATTTATTATACTACTGTTTAAACATTTGTATGATGTGAACTTCATGATAGAAAAAAGATATATTGTTTTAAGTTGGGTACAAAAGGGAGACACACTGGAAGTACAGTACTAATAATTGCCAGCCTTTCAGACTTTTAATGTGTGGAAAACTTTGCGGTGTTTTGGTCTTTTAAGATTGAGCATGTGTCAATTCACTTTGGCTGTTTTCAGTTTTATTGCCAAGAATGTCAAAACTAATATCACCCTTACACAAATGGTCTAGCCCAGCAGTCTCTTTATTTCCTGGAAGAGGAAATCTTTGTTTCAAACACAATCCTATGTGGTATCTAATACATAGCACAATTTTTTCTAATGTTGGAAGGACATTAAATTTCATAATTAAACTTCTTATAGGGTTAATTACTGAGGGGAATAAAAAGAATTTGAACAACAAAAGGACTTAGAAAGCCTTGGCCTCCTCTTTTTATTTCATTTGTCAAGTACTTGAAAACCTTGAATTATATAGATAAGTAACTGCAAGTGGTAACAATTTATATTCAATTTATATTGGTTTATTTTGCAAGGTTTTCAGAGATTTCAGATTTATAAGTATAGCAGGAATACCTAACTTTTAGGAACAAAGAAAAAATTGATTTAGCAGCACAAGTTAATGAATTAATTCCCTGTATTGTGTTAAAATTTGGTATGTAAAACTATTAAACTTTGTCTGGGGTTATGGCTCAGTGGTAGAGCCCTTGCCTCACATGTATGAGGCACTGGGTTCGATTCTCAGCACCACATAAAAATATATAAACAAAGTAAGTTATTGTGTCCATCACAACTAAAAATATATTTTAAAAAACTATTAAGTTTATTTATCTTGCTTAAATTAAACATTTAAAGAAAATTATATTAAATACTTAACAGAATTCCAGAACTCTATGGAAAACACCATTAGAAAACTATTAGCTTTTTTTGGTAACATATCCAGAGAACTAGAGTGTAGATTCTGACTGTGTTTCTTTTAGAGAAATTGATTGATGGTGGAGAAGATGTGAAAATATTTCCCTTTATAAAGGGTTAGACTAATCTGAGTGAATCCTCATTTAAAAATACTGTTTCCCGAAATGTTTTTGAAGTTTCATTTTAATCAATGTTACAAATATAACTGCCAGCCCAAGCCACTAACTGTTCATCCCCTAAGAGAACAGAGGTGGCGTTATTTAGCTGACTTACGGTGACCTGTGCATTTTCTGTTAGTTTGGTATTGTCATAGATCCTCATGGCTATTTTCATAGGAATTTTTAAAATCTGCTTTGCAGTTCTGAATTAGAAACTTTCTCTCTCCACTTCCCACTGTGAGAAAGATAACAGAGGAAAATGAAAAATTTTTGTTCCCTGGTTAAAAAAAAAAAAAAAAGGTCTGTATTTTTATCTCTCCACTGAAGTGGCTGCCTGTCTCCTCTTTGAGACAGAATCATGGGTTCTGTGTTACACGGGAGCTCTGAAGAGGTCTAATTTAGTTTTGTGCCTTTAGGGACATGGGTTTGTAAAGCTGGGTAAAGAGAAAACCTTTCCAAAACCAAACACAATTTCTTCTCCTCTGGAAAACTGGATATTTAAAGGAACCCTGGGGCAAATCCTTTGGCCAGGCAAAGGCTCCTTTAATGTGCCTGGGTCATGGGGAAGCTCCTGGTGCTTTAAAAGCCATTAAAACCTTCTAAGCCACTAGCCCACTGATGAGAAAAGTCTCGTAGGGGTTTTCATTGAACACAACCCATGGCCCTAGCCTCCTGTCATCTAGAGCATATGCAGGCATCCCTCTGTGGACTAGACGATGTCACAGGCTGGCAGCCAGCTTCCACACAGCATTTGCTGATTGGTATTGAAATTAAATTCAGGATGGGTTCCGTGGAAGCATATGGCTAGAATACCAGTGACTCCTAGGCTGAGACAGGAAAATTGCAAGTTTGAGGCCAGATCTTGTCTCAAGATTTAAAAAATACAAGAAATTAGACTGGGAATGTACCTGTCCCCTCCCTTCCCAACCTGGGAAAAAAAAAGCATGTATGTAGGTGCTTAATTATTCTTAATTTCTTGTCATCATTATTTTCATTGTTATCATTATATTATTATTAAATTATATTATGCCCTATAAAAATATTATTGGAAAAGGTAGATACAAAGAAGTCAACAAAATATTATTTTTAATGCCCTCCCTTGACTCTCTGCCTGTTCCCTCTGCAGAATGTGATAAATTAAGGCGGGATGGCTACCGAAGTTCTCAGTACTACTCTCAGGGACCCACTTTTGCAGCCAATTCTAGCCCACTCTGCGAAGATTATCAAGATGAGGATGCAGAAACAGATCCAAAGGTAAGGCTGCTAAGTTCAACATGGCATCCTAGATTGACCCCTGGACAGAGTGGACATAAGTGGGAAATCAGACAAAATTAGAATCGAGTCTATATTTTAGTTAATAGTATTGCAGCAAGTTAATTTTTCGGTTTTGACAAAAGTACCATGATTTCAAAAAAACAGTAATCTAAGGGAGAACCGGTGAAGGGTAGGTAATCTTCATAGTTTCTCTGTCAATACACAGTTATTCCCATAAAGAAAGAAGTTGGGATCCAAGCAATTCATTAAAGCAACAGAAAATCAGTATATTTGTGCCGTATTGGTTAGGAGAAAAAAAATGAAGATTTTCTTTCTTTTTCATATTACCAAGTACCCAGTTATATTACAAAGAAGACCTCTGTTATTAATGATAGCCCGAGGCAGGTTATTAATGAAGTGAAGGAGTTTTACTTAGCTCATCATTTGGGAAGCTCAGGGACCTGGCACCAGCACTGACTCAGCTCTGGTGAGGCCCTGTGTCCCATTATGGTGGCAAGCAATCACCAGTCAAAAGGAAGCTGGAGAGAGGCTGGATGGGGCCATCTTGGGCTATTTACACAGCGCCTCTCTGGACTAACCGGTGTCCCACAAGAAACACCTTCATCTCTTTTGAGAGCACTCCTTCAGAGACCTGAGCATCTCAGAACAGTTGCCACCTCTCAAAGATTTCACATTCCAACAATGCTACACTGAGGTCCAAGCTCCCAACACGTGGACCCTAGGGGGACAAACTACATCCAAACCATAGCCAACTGAGTATATAGCAAAAGCTACTATTTCACCACTGTCAGGGTTTTGAACATTCATGAAATATATGCACTACTTTTACTTGATGTTATTGCACTGGCCAGTTTACTTAATGATTCTGTTTTACATTTGAGTTCCTTGTTCTCATACCTTTCTTAGGATGTGTTCAAATTACTTAAGAGATGTATATTTTCTAAATGCACATGAAATGGAATTTATGGACATTTTTATTTATATAATTTTATTTTCCTTATATTGAATATTATAGATGAATACATACTGGAGTTACCTAAACAAAATAAGATTTGATAGGTTTGGTTTTGAAACCTTTTTTGGAGCTGGGATGAACTCAAGTGCACTTGACCACTGAGCCACATCCCCAGCCCTATTTAGAGACAGGGTTTCACTGAGTTGCTTAGCACCTCACCTATTGCTGAGGCTAGCTTTGAACTCGATCCTCCTGCCTCAGCCTCCCAAGCAGCTGGGATTTTAGGCCTGCACCATGAAACCACATTTAACTAATATAAATATTTTCAGTGGAGTTAGGTCAATATAGAAACACTGTATTGGTTGGAGAACATTCTTCAAGAGCATTCTTCAGGGTTTTTTGTTGTAGTTGTTAAATAGGCAACTTCTGAGAACAAAGTACCAATAAAGTTGATCAAAAAATGGGAAATTACTACCCAAAGTTTTTGGTTTTCACATGGATATTGAGCCAGATTAATTTTTTAGGCTTGCATTTTTAAAATTAATATTATTTTAAACTGAGAATTTATAACTGCATGCATATATGTGGTACAATGCGATCTTTTGATATAGGTATACAGTGTAGAATGATTGAACAAGCTAGTTAGCATATTCATCACTTCCCTTAGCTATCACTTTTCTAGTAAAGAATTTGAAATTTACTCCCTTAGTTATTTTGAAACGTACGTTTTATTGACTGTGGTCCCCTGGCTATGCAATAGATCTCAAAACTTATTTCTTCTCTATACCTAAAACTTTGAACCCTTAGATCACTAGCTTTCCATTTCCTCCTTCCCAACCCAGATTTTTTTTTTTTTTTTTTTTTTTTTTTTGTACCAAGGATTGAACCCAGGGGCACTTTACCACTGGGCTACATAACCAGCCGTTTTTATTTTTTATTTTCAGACAAGGTCTTGCTAAATTACTTAAGGCCTCACTAAGTTGCTAAAGCTGGCCTCAAACTTTGGATCCTGGTGCCTCAGCATGTACCACCATGCCTGATTACAGGCATGCACCACTACACCTGGCCCCACACAGATTTTATCACAGAATATTTCTCCTGCCTGTTTAAAGGTATTTTCACATATTAGCTTAGTCCTTTTGCTAAAATGTACAAAGATGGTCATTTATTTTGGTGGTACAAGCAGCCATTTCAAAATCGATCTGATCTTTAATTTTAAAAACTTATTTTTCACTTCTTGGCAAGAGTAAGGGAAATGGAAACCAGAAGGTGAATTGTATAGTGAAATTTATGTTTTTCCAGATAGACTTAGCCTTACACTGCTGCTCAGAGGGGGAGGAAAGGTTTATGGTGGAGGCCCATTGAGTCAGAGGTCATGTCTGAGGGCAGATGGTTGCACAAATTGTGAGCATTTAAGAGTATGGGCTCCCCTGGTAGCAAACTTGCATTAGTATGGCAGCATCCTAAGACCTTCTGCCAAAAAAAAAGTTAGAAACTTAGTTGCTAAATTCACACGTAGCTACTTCCTCAACCTGGTGCTGATCCTGATGGAAATTTAGCTTTTGTGGGAAACTTCTACTTCTGTGGGCCTTTGCTGTGGACTCCTAACTTCAAGCAGTCCTCCTTCAGATGCATGGATGGAATGTGGATGAACCAACACTCCAGAGAAAACAAAGTTCCCATTATGTTGAAAATGAGTTGCTAGATAATGATAACATGTAAAGAAATATATGACGTGGCACATTCCAGCAAACACACGTGCCTTAGTGCAGTTTGGTAGCACAGGCATCATTAGACCAGGAATCAGAAAGTGAGACCCTCGGTTGGTCTCCTGGTAAAGAAAGTGAGTCACATACACCCGAGTCTCTCTCACTTTGTCATCAAGCCAGAGGGGCAGAACAGAGCCGCCACCTGCGCCAACAAGTGCTGGCGAGGATGTGGGGAAAAGGGTACACTTGTACATTGTTGGTGGGACTGCAAATTGCTGCAGCCAATTTGGAAAGCAGTATGGAGATTTCTTGGAAAGCTGGGAATGGAACCACCATTTGACCCAGCTATTCCCCTTCTCGGACTATTCCCTAAAGACCTTAAAAGAGCGTACTATAGGGATACTGCTACATCGATGTTCATAGCAGCACAATTCACGATAGCAAGACTGTGGAAGCAACCTAGATGCCCTTCAATAGACGAATGGATAAAAAAATGTGGCATTTATACACAATGGAGTATTACTCTGCATTAAAAAATGACAAAATCATAGAAATGAATGCAGGGAAATGGACGGCATTAGAGCAGATTATGCTAAGTGAAGCTAGCCAATCCCTAAAAAACAAATGTCAAATGTTTTCTTTGATATAAGGAAAGTAACTAAGAACAGAGTTGAGAGGAAGAGCATGAGAAGAAGATTAACATTAAACAGGGGTGAGAGGTGGGAGGGAAAAGGAAAGAGAAGGGAAATTGCATGGAAATGGAAGGAGACCCTCATGGTTATACAAAATTACATACAAGAGGAAGTGAGGGGAAAGGGGAAAAAAAACAAGGGGGA